ATATATTTTTTCTCTTTAATATTTTTTACTAATAAAATATTAAATAAATGATATTTTAAAAATTTATATTTTATTAAAGTATAATTTTATTTAAAAATATTTTATAATTTTAAGTGGAGAAATAATAAATTAAGTCATTTATAACTTGATGAGACAGATTTACAAATTTTATAATTGATGATGCTGATTTTTTCTACCAAGTGATATTTGATTGGATAAGCATTTATAGTAAGTGGGGAATACTTTGGATGAGAACAGTGCCACCTCGCACCTCATTACTTCATGATTGAGGCATTTTCATTTGTTTATAAAATGAAAAATATTTTAAATAAAAAAATAAAATAAAAAGTTATCAACATATATCAAATTTCAGGATACCAATTAATTAGTTTAAGAGCTCAGCCACTCAATAGACTACTTAATTAATTAATCATTTGAGATATTTTCTTTAAATTTATGCTCATAAAAATTGTTATTATTTATAGAATATTTATAATATTTTCACTGAATTTTTAACATGATCATCATATATAAAAAAATGTTAAAAAGGTTTTTAATTTTGAGCTTATATGTCAAGTATAGGTATTGTTTCAGTCATCACTCATATTGCAACTAACCTTTATAAATAACTTCATATATTTAAGCTTATATTCTTCTAACTTTTTGAAAATAAATATAATTATATAAATTTAAGCTCTTACATCTAACTTGTTTGGTGCTCAAAGAATCATATGTTATAGCCAAATTCTCATATATCAAATATGAGGAGGTTCTACCTTTCCATAATTATATTGTTTGTTATCTATCTTTGATTTGATTTTGTGAATATTATTTCACTCAATATATTATATTTTATAAGTTCGTGGAGTTAGTTACATGTATCAAATATAATATAATACAATTTATAAAAGAGTAAATAAGTAAATTATCCCCCGAATTTTAGATTAAATATTAGCATTATAAACTTTAAATTTATTTAATATATAAATTATTTTTTAAAATTTTGAAAATAATGCAATCTGACTCCTGTTGCTAACAAAAGTTAATTTTGACTATTAGTTAATTAAAAATTATAGTAAAAGACCTCAAAAACTATCAAATATTACAATAAAGGACAAAAATTTTTAATCATTTTCTGTTAACTTTTCAGGTCATTTTCTGTAAATTACATTATTTTTAAAAGTTAAAAAAATAATTTACATAATAAAAAAGTTTAGGATTCATGGTGCTATTTAATTTAAAGTTCAAAAAATAATTTTCTCTTTACCTTTTATAAAATATAAGAATTTTTAAAATTTCAGTGTATGGGTAATGGAATATGCAGACAACAAAGATACATATAATATTACTATATATATATATATATATATATAAAATAAACATCAACTACTCTAGGATGAATGTCATAGACAAATTGCATGTATAAATAAAATGTCAAGAAATACTTATAAATGGTTTTTTCTTGTTAATATGAAAATACTATTGAACCATAATAAATGCAAGAACATTACACTATTATAAATATTGATGATATGTTTTTCTGCCTACTTTAAAAATTCAAAAAGTTGTTAATTTACTGCCAAAATCTAATGTGGCAAGAATAGGTGCAAAACAAGTAGTATGGAAGAATATGTACCCTCAATTGTATATTATTTATTTATTTATTTATTTTAGTTCTTTTTGGTATACAACTTTACTATGTAAATAAGCCCATGAAACATGAAGGCTCATGATAGAAGAAATTTTAGATTGTAACAGATTGAGCTCATTTTGATCTAAAGTGATGTTTTTCCTTTTATAATTTTGACAAGGCCATATTTGAACACTAGGTCATTAATTAAACATATACATTGATTTTGATCCAAAACAAAGTTAATTTGGGTTGGGATTTTTAAAGTAAAGCATTTTCTATATTTTTACAACCATATATACATAAGTTTTAAAATTCAATTATTAAAAGAATGTACCACTATTGATTTAAAATTTAATCGTATTAATTCTTACTTAACTCCATTACACTCCCTCTTGCAATTATTACTTTTCCGTCCCTAATTATAAGTCCTAGTTTTTCTAAATATACATGCCAAGAATACACTAAAATTTAGTTGATGTTAAAAAATTATTTTTTCTTTTCCATGATCTGCTCTAGAATTATAAAACTCATAAGTTTAAGCAAATTCATAAAGAAAGTGTACATTTGTCATATGGGTTTACCTTTATTTATAAATAATTTATAAAATATATATTTATACTATCTGAAAAATATTTTTATTTCAAAACTTATATATTATATTAAATAAAGTGTCAATACCAAATTAAAAATTTAAAAATGTTTTTAAGAAATAAAAATAAGATGAATTGTAAATAGCAATAAACAATAATTTTTTGATAATTTTAAAAAATAAATTTTCAGCTGATATCAATTTCTTTTCCCTCTGTATTGGGGTGCGTGTGTCTATATAAGTGTGTATATATATATATATATTTCGATTAATACATCTACTATATAAAATGGGAGAAAGCCTCATGAATGAAGTGCCATTTTGTATCTCCAAAAAACATAAAATAAAATAAAAAAGAAATTAAAAATTGTAAAAAATAAAATATAACTGGTAAAAAAAAGGTCATGAAAATAAAAAAAATTAAAATATATATTAGATGTTGTACTATTATGAAGAAGGTCAAATCACTTCATTGAAATAATAGTGAAAAATTAATGTTAGATTACATCATGAACTCACTCCACCAACTCGTATAAATCACGATTCTACTGAATCCCATGCGAGATAATGCAAGTGAGAGCATGTTCTGAGTTTTCAAACGAGTTAACTATATTTTTGAGTGAAAAGGAAATTCATTAAACGAGAAAGGACTGTACAAAGAAGCAAATAATTACATCAAAATCCTGAGAGTGGACCAGGACCGAAGAGAGTGATTAACAATAGCTCTAATCTGAGACAAAACTCTATCAACAAAAAAGGTTTCATTTGTGAAGATGCTACGATTTCTGATGTCCCATAATTTCCAGCATGTGAAACTAAAGTCGATCTTCTATGAGATGTCCAGGGCAGTAGAGGATAGGCATTTAATGATCCAGGAGTCAATTTCAGTGCTATAGAATTCAGTTCTCATGTCAGTAGGTAAGATCTTCCTCCACACAGCAGCTGCAAATGGGCAATCTTTGAGCGCATGATTAATGTTCTCATTTGGGTGAGTGCAACGCCAGCATTGTTTGTCATGAGTCATATGTCTTCTGAATCTTTCAGTATTAGACAATAATCTCCCTTTTAGTAGTAACCAGGTGAATGTTCTGATTCTTTGTGCCATGGCTAACTTTCAGACTCTGCCAGATTCTATCAACATTATTCCACTCTAAATGCTGGTTCGTCATGTAATCTGATTTGACCATGAACTCTCCATTACTAGTGAGGTGCCAAGAGCAAGTGGGCTTCAACTCATTGTTAGGATTAACTGTCATGCGTGCAACTTGTTTCAAGGAAACACTAGGTAGCAGATTTTCCAAAAGATTCCATTTCCATAATTCGTTATCATCAATGTAGTCAGAGATAGGCCGGTTTAGATCTGTCTCAGAAATATCTATAAAAGAAAGAAATTTGAGAGGGCCAGAATCTCCCACCGAAAAATCTTCCCAAAATTTGACATTTGTTCCATTTCCGGGCAACCACTTAACATGCATCATAGTATCTTGCCAAATTTTTGAAAGACTCCTCCAAAGGCAAGAGCAACCTTCTTTATGAATGTCCTAGACGGAGCCTTTAGGAACATGATATTTAGCCTTTAAAACACGAACCCATAGTAGATCAGGTTATGCTACAATTTTGTAAGCCAATTTGGAAAGAAAGGCTTTGTTTTGAGCTTCAAGAGACAAAGGTCCACAACCACCCTAGTTAAGAGGTTGACAGAGGTCTTTCCATTTAATCAAACTCATCCCCTTATGATATTTCGAGTAATCCCATATGAATTTTCTAATCATTTTCTCAATTTTAGAGTAGCAAGCAGTTGGCAACATAGTACTTTGCATAGCATACATTGCAATAGATGTCAAAACTGACTTTGCTAGTGTAATCCTGCCAGCTAAGGAGAGTGATTTACATTTCCATCCAGATAGCTTTTGCTGTAGTTTTTCAACCAGGTACTTATAGGTGTGTGGAGTGACTCTACCTGTGATTAGTGGTACACCTCGATATCTTCCCAAATTTTCAAAGTATTGGAATCCCAATTGTTGACAGATGGTAAGACCATAGGAGGAAGGGACATTATACGAGAAATAAATATGGGATTTATGCCTGCTAACATTCTGATCTGAAGAACCACAGAACTGGTTCAAAATTCTATATATTGTAACAATTTGTTCAGCCAAAGTGTCACTGAAAAGAACAAGATCATCAGTGAAAAATAAGTAAGAGAGAGAGAGATACCTCTTCTTCCTAATTTGATGGTTTACCAAGTTTTCTTGTTGACCTCTGCAATAATGGCTTGAGAGAGTCGCTCCATGCATAATACAAAAATATACGGTGATAGAGGGTCGTCATGGCAAATGCCCCTCTTGGGTGAAAAGGAAGCTAAAGGTTTACCCTTCCATAAAACCTGCATACTGGGAGTGGTAATACATTGCATAATCACTAAAATCATTCTGGGAGGTAGTCCCACGTCTTGCAAAGTATCTTCAATGAAATTCCATTAGATTATCAAAGGCTTTTTCCAAATCCACCTTAACGGCCATCCATCCTGTTTTCCTTGACTTCTTTCTCATGGAATGTGTAATAATCTTAAAATAATATATATATATATATATATATATAAAATAATAGTAGTAGTAATTAAAAAAAATCTGGTGGGTAGTTTTTTGTAATTTTATTAAATAAGTTTGGGTCTTTTCCTGTAATTTTCCCCCATTATATTTAAGTCTTCTTCTTCCTTGTCGATAAAAAAAACAAAAACGAGTGAATAAAAACAGAGCAGAGTAGATGAGCGCGAGAGAGAAAGAGAATTCTCTAAGCTTCCACCAACCTTCACTCTCCATTCTTCTTCCTTCATCGTTCATCTCCATCGGGTCCTTTGTTTCTTTGGCTCTTCCTTTCTTTTTCTTCTCCACTTGATGTTCTGTTACAGCACCGAAAAAAAATGAAAACAAAAAAAAAACCACACACTGTTGCTGAAAACTTGAGGGAACCGTGATCTCCTCCTCCTTTCTTTCTGTGCGTGAATGTTGAGTAGTGGATTTGTCATTATTGAAGGTTTGCTTGATGATTTCTTTCTCTTATTCTCTATGCTATAGATGTCTTCTTCTCTACCATGCTAAATTAGCTAATTGAATTTTTCATTCTCATCTTTGTGCCGCTGGTATATATATTGAATATTGATATTTCTTTTGCTTTAGATATTAAGTTTTAAACTCTTTTCTTACCCTTTTCATTTAGAGCTGTACAATTAAGGGGAGAGTTGTTTCTTTAGTTAATATTAAAATTGAAGTCTTGAATTTTGTTGTTGAATAAGGAAATTATGATATGGGTGTGCGTTATAATAATTATGTTAATACAATGGCAAAGGATGATTTAGAAACATAATTAGGATTATATAATAATAGCAATACCATTAGTTTGGCTAAGAATAAAAATGGAGAAATTAGGAGGCATAAAAGTGGACATATGAAAAATTGATTCAAATTGTAGAAAGAGATATTAAAGTTTTATTATATCTAATAGGGGTTCCAGAAGAGGAGAAGCTAAATTGAAGTTGAGCAAAGAGAATTTTTAGAATTTGGCAACATACCAGGTAAGTAAATAACGTTCCCTAATATATAAAAGCAATTATCTTTCTTTTACCTTATTTAATTACCTTAATTGTTCTGAATTGATTTTTATTTTATTTTATTTGTATCTTAAGATTTAGTTCATTCATATGTAATTAGTTTGATTATGACTCAACTTTAATCATGTAGATATTTTCATAGTATTTCATTTTTGAAATGTAGATATATATTTATATGTGTATATATATATATCATACATGCATGGATCAGTAAACTGTGAAAAAATTGTTTATATCTTCCAAATTAAAGAACAATTTGAATTACAAGAGTTTATAGATTCCATGCATGCCAGAAATGTTTTACAGGATTGAATACAGAACACTGTTTGCTAACGATAGTATCGTTAGCCCTTGGCATGCCACGGCATACCTACCTAGCAGGGTACATTGGAGGTGCTAGCCCCGTGTGTCGGCCAACACAAATGGAACGGAGGGTGTAATTTCATGGACATAATCCATGCTTGTTTTTTTTCATGGCTTCTAACCATGCCAGATGTTACTTACCCTCGTGAACTATGTATCCACGCCTATTATTCATTCTATCGAGGTCCTAATAGAAAATAAGTTTTTCAAAGTCATATTCTTGCTCTTAAAATTTGTATTTTGTGATTTATCTTATATAGAAAGTCATATTTCTAAATGGTTGTTCACGATTCTTTACTTTTCCTTTCTATTTTATTCACTCAATTATCAAGATTAAATTATATTATTATTTTCTAATACCTTCTGTAATTAGATTAGTCTTTTGTTTCCTATTATACATTTATAATTATCATTTTTGGTTAATATTATTATTATTTGGGAACGTTATTTACTGAGAGAATTTTTGGGTATTCAGATAGTAGAAGTGAACCTGCTCTTCATTTGATCTCGTGGGACTCCTTGAAACAAGAAGTATTTGTTGCTCCGTCCAAATTGTGGATTAATGTAAATATTTAAGTATCTTAGTTTTGTTCTAGATTCGCTCCACGAATCTTATAGGTAGGATCCTTGATTGAATTATTCTGGGATTGTACATATATATTGTATTGGAGTAGAATTTCAAATGTTGTATGGGTATTCTTTTGGTAGGTTGTAAAGATTTCGGGTAGTCTAACTTATAAGGGAGACTCTGCCAAAATTTTTACAAGTTAAATATTTTGATAATATTAGTAGTTGTTTAATACAAACAACAATTATACAATGAGTTTGGGTAATTAATATGTCAGATAATATATGGGTTTAGGCTTATGAAATATGAGTTTTCTTGTATTTCAACCGGTCACACTTTAGAAATTTAGAGTGTGGCAGAATGCATCACCTCTTGTGCTATTATGATATTATCAATAATGCTTCTTCCTTGTACAAAAGTAGTTTGATAGGGCATAACCACATCAGACATAATGGTTTGGAGATAGTTGGCAATGACTTTGTGACCACTTTGAAAACTAAAGAGCAGAGGCTAATTGGATGAAATTCCTTGATATACTGTGGGTTACCAACTTTCAGGATTAGAGCAACAAGGGTTCTATTCAACCTTGGGTCAAGATTCCCACCAAGCCATAGGCGTTTTACAAGAGGAAAAAGGCTATCACCAACTATATCCCACTGAGATTGGAAAAATAGAGCATGAAGTCCATCGATTCCAAGGGATTTCAGTGGTTTCATTCAAAGAGTGCATGTTTAACCTCATCAATTGAAATTATACTATCAAGATCAGAAATAATATGAGGCCAAGGTGTAGGGAATGCACCTAAAATGTTATAGGGGGTGAAATTATTTTCTAGTGAATATAAGTTCTGGAAGTAATCAGTAATCATCTAAAATAGCTATTGATCGTTCGTTATCCACTCTCCTTGAGAAGAACGAAGCTGCGTGACCTAAGTCCTCCGACAATTAAGGATGGCTTTGGTATGAAAAAAAAAAAAAGAAGTGTTCCTATCTTCTAGACAGAGCCAATCGCTAGTAGATTTCTACATCCAAAGCAATTCTTCATTAAAGCTAATGTCTTTAAATTCCTTAAGTTCTTGTTCCAGGTGGAAAAGGAATTCCAAAAAAGGGGAAGTTTCAAGACCTTTCTGAACCCCATTAAGACGCGATAGGAGCTGTCTCTTTTTTGACCACTATTACCAAAAATGTTTTGGTTCCAGTGATGGGCTTTAGAAGTAAACAGTGTTAATTTATCAGAGATACACTCGTTAAAAGGCCAATAGTAATTACAAGATTATAAAATTCTGGATGCGTGACCCAAGCAGCGAGGAATTGAAGGGTGTGGAAATTTGTGGGCTATTAAAATTCAATTTAATAGAAATGGGCCTATGTTCTGAAAGTAGTTTGAGGAGATGATCCACAAAGCAATTGGTAAAAGAATTTAGCCAGGTCTGATTTCTAATGACTCTATCTAACCGAACAAGCAAGGTACCATGCCTCCAAGTATACTTTGGGCCATTGAAGCCCAAGTCAATCAGTCCAAGTTGGTTCAAGAAGTGGCGAAAAGAATGATAGCCCAGTCTTTGATTGTTAGCACCTCCTGAATGATCAGTACTAGATAATATAGCGTTGAAATGTCCTGCTAATAACCATGGAGAATTGCTATCATGGGCAATATATGAAAGATTATTCCAAAGTAATTTCCGCTACCTAGCTTGTGGGCTCCCATAAATTGCAGAGAAAGTGAAGGATTTAGCTTCATGTAACACCATCACTTCAGAATGGATGAATTGGAAATGACTTGATAGAATACTAATAGTCACTCTATTATTCCATATTAGCCAGATGCCACCAAAAAACCTAGATGCTTCTACTCGATAGGAATTTAGAAACCCAAGCTTCTTAATAACAGAGTCAGCCTTGGTTCTTGAAATCCTAGGCTCCACAGTAACAAAAATATCCAGCTTATAGTTCATGACTAAAGCTTAAACAAAAGAGGGAAGCCTTTTGTCAAGGGCCCCTTGGCAATTCCAAGTTATGATAGACATAAAAAAAGACAACGAAATTATTGCACAGGGAATGACCCAAAATCCACCTTTTCTATTAGCATATCTACATCAATATCTTCTGTACTTTATGCCATTTCCTTTTGAATTCATGAGCAATCTCTTTCATAAGCCTAACTGATAGAGTTGGAGAGTCTCATTGGGCTTATTTCTTAAATTATGGACATGAAGCCCAGTATACAGTTTATGTCCACAAGAGTTGCTTTAAGGTTTGGTGGTTTAGGTTGTAGGGTAATTTGGTCGAAAGTGTGATTGGTAGAGGTTGAATGAGAGGGAAGTCCAACTGTCCCATTAGGTTGCTTCTTGGGTGGGACTCAGTCGTCATGAATAATAATAGCATTGTTGGCTGTATGGTCTAAAGTTGTGCATGGTATCGCTGAAAGTCAAAAAGTCGCCACAATGTCGCCGCGAGAGCTTCTATCACTGATTCAATCTGTGGCAACAAAAAAAGTCGTTGCTGAAAGTTGAGAATCTGCGGCGACATTTGTTGCTGCCGAAAGTCAAAAAGTCACCCCTAAAAGTTTTTAGCGGTGACAAAAAGTCGCTACAATGTGGCCGTGAAAGCTCTTGTTGCTAATTCAATCTGCGGCGATAATAAAAGTTGCCGCTGAAAGTTGAGAATCAGCAGCGACAATTGTCGCCACAGAAACCACGCATTAGCGGTGACTATTTTTGTCGCCGCTGAAAGTCAACTTTCAGTGGCGACACTAAAAAGTCACCGCTGATTCTCAACTTTCAACGGTGACAGTAAAAGTCACCGTTGAAAGTCTAACAATCAGTAGCAACTATATTTTGTCGCCGCTAAAGCTACCAAAAAGTTGTCGTTGAAAAGTAATGTTGGTTTACTTACACACATGGCACCACATCACCATCCACGTGGCGCCCCACCTCACGCCACGTGGTGCCATGTCACCTCCACGTAAGGCCCCACCTTGCACCACGTGTCGCTATGTCATCCTCTATGTGTTGCCCTCACCTCACGCCACGTGGCCCCATGTCACTCTCCATGTGTCGCTCTCACCACACGCCATGTGTCATCATGTCATCAATTTATATTTTCATTTTGAAAGTTGTTTCCTCCAAGGTTTGAACCTGTGACCTCCTTCTTTTGTGTCCAACCATTTTGCCACTGAGCTGGAATGAACCTGTAGTCTATTATTGCATAATTAAATATATATATATATACACACACATATTATTAAACTATATAAACACACATATATATTAAATATTAAATATTATAAAATATCATTACTATCCTTAAATACTTCAATTAATTCTTTCAATTTATAAAATTATAAATTATATTATTTATTTTGTTTAAAGTAAACTATAAATATAATTGATACAATATAATTTGTATTATTTATTTTAATTTTTTTACTTCTTGAGGTTGTTATATTATTTATTTTAATATTCATATTTATAATTATAATATAAAAAATATCTAAGAATAAATAGTGAAAATACTGATGATTATATATTAGTAAAAAAATTATACAAATGCAGACAATCAGTGGCAACACTAAAAAGTCGTCGCTAAAAGTCTATTTTCAGCGGCGACTTTCAAGTCGCCACTAAAGCTTGCAACATAATTTTTTTAAAAAAATTAAAAAATGCTAACAATGAGCAACGACACTAAAAGTCACCACTGCGGTGACTTTTATGTCGCCGCTGAAGCTTGCAACATAATTTTTTTAAAAGAATTAAAAAATGTTGACAATCAGTGGCGACACTAAACGGTCGCCGCTGAAAGTCGACTTTCAGCCGCGACTTTTAGGTCGCCGCTGAAACTTGCAATATAATTTTTTTAAAACAAATAAAAAATGTTGACAATCAGCGGCGACACTAAAAAGTCGCTGCTAAAAGTCGACTTTCAGTCGTGACTTTTTAGTGTTGCCGTTGAAACTTGCAACATAATTTAAAAAAAAATTATAAAAATGGCCAAATCTTTCACATTTATAACAAACTATTTCTATTTTATATTTTTTAAAATTATCTTTTCTAAAGGTTTTATAATATTAATTATTTGTCCATATGTTAAAATAGTAGAATTTATTGTTCTTCGTTATAACTAGTAAAATAAAAGCAGAAGAAAATATAGAAAATGAAATAGATAACACCCCTATTAAAATAAATCAACAAAGATACATGAACATAATATCACATGTAACTTATAAAAAAAATGATATTGCCAAGTAAGTTTAGTAACAAACAGAGAATATTCAAGAAATATAATATTTAAAAATCCTGTGAAAGAATAGGAAAATTAGGCAGTGGTGTTCCTATTAAGCCAAAGAAGAACAATATCAATAAAAAATCAAACTTGTAGAAATAGAAATATGAGATGGTTCGATAAGATATTAGGATCTAAGTTAAAAAAGAAGAATAAGATAAGTCTTAAGAGTTCTAGTCTATAGCCAAATAGAAATAGTGAACCTGAAAGAAAAGTAGAAGAGGTAGAAATAAAGAAATACATTATAAAAGAATTGAAGAACAAATAGAAATCTCAAAAATAGAAAATAGAATAAATTAATAAGAGAAAAATTTGAAAGAGATATTTGTGCAGAATATCCAAATTTTTTTTTAAATAGAAAAAGATACAAGAAATCACGGGTGAAAAACAAATATGACAAAAGAAGAAAAAGAAAAAGCAAAAGAAAGACAAGAGTTAAATCTTGTCAAAAAATAATTTAAGCCAAAAAAAAAGGTAATTAAGTGAAGCAAATCAAAAGAGCTAATTTAACCATGATTTTTCTAAACTTCTATAAAATTAGAAGACTTTTGATTTTGCAGGCATTGAGTTAAATGGCTCCTTCTCTATCTCTTAATATAAACCTCTCTCCACTTGTAATATTAAAACATATGTATGTGTATCTATGCATACATGTATACATACATACAACTTGGTTAAATAAATGGAAATGAAAATAAATTAAAATTTAAATAAAAAGAACATCATGAAATTGGTTAAAAAAATATATTCTTTCCTATGAAAAATACTTTAATCTAATTTTGAAAATACAAAAAAATGCTGACAATCAGCAGTGACACTAAAAAGTTGCCGCTGAAAGTCTACTTTTAGCTGTGACTTTTTATTGTCG